TCTGGGGTGGGGCGCGGGGGTGTTTAACAATCCCCAGGCAATGCCCCGCTACCGCAGTTTAGGACAAGAAGTGATGGAGCCCCCCCGCCCCCCGGAGGGGGATGCTGGAGGGGAGCAGCCTTGGAATTGGGCCGGGCCGGGGGGGGGGGGGGCGGGGATCCTGCAGCTGGACCCAGGGCAATTCCAGCCGCAGCGCCCCCGAGCCCCCCATCGCCCCCCCGGGGCTGTGACACCTGACATGACCCCGATCCGCTGCAGGGTCCCCCCCCCGGCACAGGGCACAGCCGGTAGGCGAGGATGCTTTATTGGCAGTTATTTGTAGCATACAAACGAGGGGAAGGGGCGGGGGGGGGGCGTATTTTAGATACAAAATTTTTTTGGAAATAAAGATAGAAAATCTCCCCCCTCCCCCACCGGGGCCAGCATCGCCTCCTGCTGGTCGGCGCAGGGCACGGACCAGCCCCTCCCCGCCCCCCAGCACCTGCCCCAGGGCTCTGTGCACCTACAACGTGGCACGGCCCCCCTGCCCTCGGGCACCCCCCTCCTGCCCTGCACCCACCGGGTGGCATCGACTGAGCTGGGCCCTGTGGCATCGCCCCCGGAGGCCCACATGCAGCCCCTGCCCCCCCGGGGCCTCCGGGCGGTGCCCACGTGGGGGGCGAATCCAGGCCGCGCTGCTCAGGCCCCGTGGGGCAGATCAGAGGCCTTAGGTGCCCCCCCCAGGGGGGGTCAGGGCCTGCCCCTGGCCCCACACAGCCCGGGGGAGGGGTGTCTGGTCCCCCCACTCCAGGCCCCCCCCAGTTCCCACAGCAACCCCCCTACCTCAGCCCAGTGGGGGGGGGGACAAGCTTTGATTTGTGCCAGGATCAGACAGGGCAGGGGGGGAAACTGAGGCAAGGCGAGCCCGTCCGTCCGTCCTCTCCCCTCTTCACCGGGACCCTTCCCGGCCATCCCCGTCCCCAAACCAAAAATCAGAGACAATAAATTAGAGCCAGGGACAACCTCCCCCCCCCCCCCCCCCCCCCGGCCCCCGGCCCCCGGGCCCCCCCCCCCCCCCGCCCCCCCCCCCCGCTCCAGGGTGAAAAGGCCAGAACCAACCCCCCCCCTCCCCCCAGCAGCTCCCTACAGGGGAACAATCCAGGTCCAGCCCCCCCATTTTCCCTCAGCTCAGCCCCCCAGAACCTGCCCCCAACCCTCCCCCAGGCACACAGGCCTGACCATTAGACTGGGGGGGGGTTAGCCCTGATCACCCCTGGGTCTGGGAGGTGCCCCCATCCAGCCCCCCCACACGTCCAGCCCAGGGTCCCTCCCCGTTTGCAGCCAGCCAGGGACCCGTTAACCATTTCATCACCTGGGGGGGAGGTTCCTCACCCCCACATTCCCCAGCCCCACCTCCAGTGACCGGGACCCACACTCAGCCCCCCATCGGCCCCCAGGCAAAGCCCCCAAAGCTGATGCTGGGGGGGGCAGCAGCCCTGGGGGCCCCTCCCCAGCCTGTCCCCCCGTTTGACAAGGAGGTGGTGACCCACGTCCCGCTGGGGTTGGGGGGTCTCCGTACATCCCCCACCTCTACCTGGCCCCACAGTCCGTTCCGTAGTGGGGGGCTCAGGGACCCCCGGTCGCTCCCCCCCAGCTCACAGCTCGATCTCAAAGGTTTTCTGCAGGTCTCCGGCGAAGGGGTTCACCGGGTCGGCCCCCCCGGGGGGCTTGGCCCCCAGCGCCGCCCACTGAGCCTCAAAGGGGTCCGGCTTGGGCCCAGGGCGGGCGGTGGCGAGCGGGGGGGCCATGGCCCCCGGCTGGCCCGACTCCGGGGGCCAGGGGGCAGCGCTGCCGGACTTGGGTCGGGCCTGGGGGGGAGGGGGCAGCGTGGGGCCCAGCAGAGCAGGGGGGAAGGGGCTGGCCTTGCCCCCCAAGTTCGAGGGCGGCAGCTGGGCGGCGGAGCAGAAGACGTTGGCCACCATCTGGGAGGGGGTGATGCCCACCACAGGGACGCTGGGGGCCGCGAAGGGCCCGGCCGGCGGGTAGGCCCCCACGGGCACGTAGGCCGGCTGCATGTGGGGCGGCAGGAACATGCCCACGGGGGCGGGCGCGGCGTCGTAGCTCACGGGGTAGGGGGGCAGCGTGGCAGGCAGGGCCGCGGGCACTGCCACCTGCTGCGCCTTGGCCGTCTGGGCCACCTCCTCCAGCCAGCGCTCGGCCTCCGACGGGGTCCTCTTGTGTCCGGGCTGGAACGGGGGGGCCTGCGAAGGGGCCCCCGCCCCGGGCTCTCCCCAGGCGGCCGGCCCTGCGGGGGAGGAGAAAAACCACGTCAGGAGCGAGCCACCCCAGTGGCAATGCCAGGGCGGGGCGCGGAGGGCTGGCTACCTACGGAGCTCTTGCCTGGCACGAAGATGCGGCTGCTTCTGGGGTGGAGCGCGTGGGCTGGCTACCCAGGGACCTCTTGCCCAGAGCAGAGATCGGCTTTCTCTGGGGTGGGGGGCAGGGCTGGTTATACAGAGATTTTCCCTCTGGGGGACAGCTTGTCCGTGTGCCCTTGGCACCGTGTGGGTACGGGGTGTGCCCAGGGGTGATCCCCAGGAGAGGGGCCTGGCACCCCCAGCACAGCCCCCAGGGGGCCTGGCATAGTTGGGGGTGACGCCCCTGGGGGTGCACATGACGTACCTGGGGGGCGTGGCACAGTGCACGTGGGGGGGGTATGCGGGGATGTGGTACAGGGCACGGGGGAGGGTTCCCGGGGGCCTGGCACAGGGGACGCGGCACAGGGCATGGGAGGGGGTTCGCAGGGCCCGTACCTTGGGGGAGCCCCGTGGGGGGGGAGGCGGTGCCGTCGGCGGCCGTGGGGCTGAAGGGGTCGGCGGGCGGGCGAGCGAAGGAGGCGTCGATCTGGCTGCAGAGGGCGCTGATCCCATCGCTGTCACCGGTCGGGGTCGACTCCAGATCCGGCACTGGAGGGCGGGGGGGGGGTGAGCACCCCCCCCCCCCGCGTCCCCCCCGGGTAATACGCCCCCCATCTCTTAAAGGGCTGGAAGCCAAGATACCCCCCTAGGGTCCAGCTGCCCCCCCAGCCCCACGCTCGGCTCCCGTGGCCCCTGCTGTCCCCCACACCCAGTTCCCCCATGCCCCTGCCCCCCCAGTCCCTGCCCCCCAGCCCCTGCCCCCCGCGCCCGGCTCCCCCCTGCCCGGCTCACCGGCGCCCCCGGGCGGGCAGTCCCCCTTGCGCTGCAGGGTGGAGGGCAGGTCGCTGAGCCGCAGCGAGAGCTGGCGTTTGAAGGGCGAGTTCCTCTGGCTGAGGGCGGGGAAGCCGCGGAAGGAGCCCTGCCGGACCAGCTGCTCCAGGGGCGCGTGGCGGCGCGGGATGGCGCGCTGGGGGCCCCCCTCCCCCTTCTCCGCCGGCGACGTGGCCCCCTGCGGCGGGGAGACGCTGCCCGGCTGGGCGGGGCCGGGGGGCGCCGAGGGGGCGGCGGCTGGGGCGGCCTCCGCTGGGAGAGAGAGTCGGGGTGAGACCCCCCCCCGTAGTTCCCCTCGCCACCCCCCCCCAGCGCCCTCAGCCCCTCCCCCCAGGACAGCCCCCTCCCCCGGCACCTGCCCCCCCCCATGCCCTCAGCCCCTCCCCCCAGGACAGCCCCCTTCCCTGGCACCTGCCCCCCAGCGCCCTCTTCCCCCGCCCCCAGGAACCTCCATCCCTCCCTCAACACATTCAAGCTCCCCCACCTCAGACCAAGTGTGGCCCCCTCCCAGCATGCAC